ACTACTACTACTAAGAAGCTGCTGACAATAATGGACTTGTCTAACTTCATTCATTTAACATGTTTCAGGGCCCACTCACACAGCAGAACACCCCTTTTGACTTGGTCTTCACTTATGGTGTTACCATTGACCATTTGCATATAAATGAAGTTGTTTTCAGTGACCAGTCTGTTTTATTAATTATTTTACCAAGAGTCATTCTCTCAGTTCTTCCCTTTTTGTTTTTGATTTTTATGTGTGTGTGTGTGTGTGTGTGTGTGTGTGTGTGTGTGTGTGTGTGTGTGTGTGTGTGTGTGTGTGTGTGCTCACCTTAATACGACCCAGTTCAAACTGGAAGACATTAGGACTTGTGGCCTTTGCAAAGACTGCAGGGAACAGCTTAGTACTGGGTTCCACCTGTGCATGGGAAAAGTTTCTAAAATTACCTATAAATGCTGAGGTGATCTGTCAAATATAATCTTTGGACTGTCAAAGTCCATAACTGCCGCACTCTGAAATTTTGAGACACAGTGTGCAGTCAGAGTGGCAGATTTAGTGTTGTTGTGCTGGTAATACTAAGTGTGCAGTATGAGACATGCCTGAGACATACAAAGTAGATTTGTACCTACAGTTGTGGTCAGAAGTTTGTATACATTCATCATAGGAATGAATGTCATGGTCTCTTTCAAACATTTGCTTTGGTGTCTCACTATGGGGAATGCTCTCGCAGGATTGTCCTCAGAAGCCTCTATGTCATCAGGGAGGTGCCGCCCTCCTCCCTATAAAAGGATGTGACGCAGTGTCATTCAAATTCCTCTTCTAACTTCTTAGAAGCCCCATCTCTCCTGACTGCTAACGTGAGTGCTAGCTTAACAGTCTATTCAAGCAAGCTAACAGCTTGGTCACCGGGCGCTAGCATGACTCACGCTTTTAGTTTGCCTACTTTTCACCATAAAGCCAAGTTGGAGAGCATGTTAGCTTCCACCGCGCCCCACACTAGGGGTCATGCTTGAAAGACCACAGCACAGATTTCCACTGGTCTAATGTCCACTCCTTGTGTTTCTTGGCCCATACAAATCTCTTCTGCTTGTTGCCTTTCCTTAGTCGTGGTTTCTTAGCAGCTATTTGACCATAAAGGCCTGATTCACACACTCTGAACAGTTGATGTAGAGATGTGTCTGCTACTGGAACTCTGTGTGGCATCTATCTGGGCTCTAATCTGAGGTTAACTTGTGATTTCTGAGGCTGGTGACTCAGATGAATTTATCCTCAGCAGCAGAGGTGACTCTTGGGCTTCCTTTCCTGGGGGTCATCCAGCTGCCATGCAGACATTTAAAAATCCCTCATTGCCGAGTTCCTCTGGAATTGCAGAACCCACTGGCCTAGGAAGCACATCCTGCCTGCTGTTCAGACCACAAGAAGAAGCTGACCACCTAACATCCCCCATGGATGAGCTGGACCAGCACATGCTCTGTGTTCCCTTCAGGACCCAGTTCCAGAGCCCATTTGAAGAAGTGTCTTCTGCCTGGGACCCGATTTTAGATCACGCAGTGCACATTCCAATAAAGAGACGACAAGATGCTTTTCAGCTGAGTCAAGGGTCACAGTCTCACTAGCACACACAGTTTATTAAAAACTCATCAAGTGCATCCAGGCATGTTGCTGAGGGCACAGGAAAAGTTTGTGAAAAACACAGAAAACATGTTGAAAACATATTGCCCTCACACACAAACACCACTGGGGTCCATTTCCTTGTGGTACCCAGCCCCATGAATGCTGGGCAAAAACAGGCCAGGGTTGCAGAACCTGTTTCTGCCACAAGAGGAAGCCAAAGCGCCCTCCACTGCCTGGCTTTGAGCCCTCTCTCAGCAAGACCAGAAGGGTGGCAAGCTCTCCCTACACCAGAGTGGGTTGTGAGGACATTAGAGCAAGGGTACTGCTTGCAATTTGCAAGCACCCTTCCCAGATTTTCCAGAGTGATTTTCTCTCTTGTAAAAGGCGAATCATCCAGAATTTTGAAAAAATAATAAATATTTACGTTATGAGAAATATCTCAGGAGCAGAGCTGATGCAGCTTTTACTCAAAGAATTTTCTTGTTCCCAAGAAGGGTGGAGGACTGCGTCCGATTGGACTTAAGGGAACTAAAGCCGCATCTCAGGTCGTACAAATTCAGGATGCTGACAAATCCCACTCTAGTGTGCCCAGCAAATTGCTTTACATCAACAGACCCTTAAAATACCATATTTTGACATTCACATTTGCCCGCCTCACAGGAAATTCCTTTCCTTTTACTCTCACCCAGAGCGCTTCGTCTCTTTTTTTCCCCAGGAGCTGTTAGATAAAGGAAATGTCTTTCCAACAATTAACGTATATCTAGCAGCCATTTCAACCTGCATCACCCGCTAGTCTGCCATTTTATGAAAGGGCCACGAACGCCCGTGTCTGAACCTCCCTATGTACGAGGTCCTGGTCCTGGCAGCAGTTTCACAGCCACCATTTAAGTTTCCCCACAGTGAGATTTATCAGAGAATAGTGGTTACGGTATAGACAATATGTCTGTGAAGGTTCTCAGTCATCCAGGTCATCGTAGTCAAAGGAGCTTGCAAAGAAAAGCGTCTGGACTTCTTTAAGTTACTTGAAGACGTTTCACCTCTCATCCGAGAAGCTTCTTCAGTTCTAAGGTCAAATGGTGGAGAGTTCCAGATATAAACCTAGTGGGAGTTTCCCCCCACAGAGGGACGAAAGGACCCCCTGATGATCCTCTAATCGCCTGAGCCAAGGTGTGAAACTGGGTGTGGGTCCCAATCAGCCAGAGTTTCGGGTGAGCTCATTGTGAAACCTGGCCCCACCTTATCATGCGAATTCCTGAGATCAGCTGGCCCAGGATGTGAGTGGGCGTTAAGGCGTCTGGGAAGGGATCTCAAAACTGGATTATAGATGGCAGAGAGTTGGTGTCGTAAACCCCCGCCTCTGTTCAAAGATGGTCGCTCACAGTGGACGTAGATGCTTCTTTCACTCCTCTTTCAAACCGTCTGTCCTCTCTGTCCAAAATGTGAACATTGGCATCCTCGAAAGAGTGTCCTTTATCCTTAAGATGCAGATGGACTGCTGAGTCTTGTCCTGTGGAGGTGGCTCTTCTGTGTTGTGCCATGCGCTTGTGAAGTGGCTGTTTGGTCTCTCCAATGTAGAGGTCTGGGCATTCCTCGCTGCACTGTACAGCATCTCCACCATTTGACCTTAGAACTGAAGAAGCTTCTCGGATGAGAGGTGAAACGTCTTCAAGTAACTTAAAGAAGTCCAGACGCTTTTCTTTGCAAGCTCCTTTGACTTACGGTATAGAGTAACCTCAAGTTTTTAAAATGTTCTTCTTTCGTTGTAAAATGACTATACAGCATACATGTTTAATGACTTCAAAAAAACAAAAGGATTGGATGCACATGTTCGTGTATATATATATATATATATATATATATATATACCTACCTACCTTCTGGATAAAGGTTTTGTGGTCAGACAACACAAAGATTGAGCTATTTGACCACTAGTATGCTAGGAGGAGTAAGATGAAGTGGAGTGGGGCTTTTGAACCAAAGAAAACTGTACTAGCTGTCAAATCTGATTGTGATAGCATCATGCTTTAATGTAGTTCCGCTGACTGTGGCATTACTACAATGAACAAAGAGGATGGAATAATTAAGCTAGAGCCGGGGTCCCCAACCCCAGGACTCAAGTCCAAATCCAGACCCCAAGGGAGTTTTGCCTGGACCGCAAAGCATTTAATCATTTACTATGTAGTTAGGTAATTTACTCCTGCCGGCTGCGTGGCTGACTTTTGAACAGGTGTGAAAGGCAGCTATGTGGGTCAGCAAAATTCTGGTCCACACTCCAAGCCAGCTGGTGGCGGTATTGCACCACCAACCACCAAAAAAAACAACAAAGAAGAAGAAACTGCAGGTCCTCAACACAGGTTGCTAGATTCCAACCCTGGGAGATAGTGCTTGCTGACAGTACAATGGTGACTTGGTGGTGCAGAGTGAGTAAAAAAAGAATGGCTTTGTCAAAAATGCATAAAGTCCACGAAAATCGGACATTGAAAGATAAATGGACAGGCTTCGCTCACAACTGACTAATGAACATTTGCATGCATGCTTAAGAATTGAACTGAGCCCATTTCAACCAAAGTTTAAAATGCTAGCTGCAAATGTCCCTGCAAGTTCCTCCTACTGAAGTGAGAGTCAGCACTGTTCTGGAATATGTTCTAAGTTACGTTGTGTTGGGTTTGTCAAACAGATTTTCTGCACCGTTTAAAGCACTTGTTGGTTTATGTGCAATACATGTTGTGTAGATTATTGCATAATTTCATTGTTAAACAGTTTTTTGTTTAACATTCGTACTTTAAGTGGATTGCATTTTTCTGTTCAGCAGATGATTTAATAAGCGTACGAATTATTGATCAGTAGTTACAAATCTATATTGTTAGTTAAATATTAAAGAAAAATTAAAGAAAATATTTTTGTCGTTTCATTTAGAGGATGGTCCCCAAATTCTGGACCTCAAATGAAAAGCGAGATGGTTGAAATTTGGGCACAACTGGGTGTTACAAATATCCAGAACATCCAGAATTATGGCAGAAGCGTACTGGTAGCTAACGAATATGTATGGTTGAGGTGTAACTTGCTAATTGACATTCAACCAAATATTAGTGGATCTTATATCTTTTCAGTAAAAATCCAAAATAAATTTGAACTTCAATCTATTCAGTCATTCCACAATTCAAAGAAATCCACACAAGCCTAAAATTGCCATCACAGTATTTGCCACAATGAGTCTCTGTCAACTTGTGACCACAACTGTAGTTGCTAGCAGTACTACAGTACTGCTACCTGCATTTTGTTGGAAGTGTGATAGCAATTTCTACCAAACTGTTGATTTAAGTTTTAATTTAAATCTAAGATTATTTCTTAGCTACATTCCATTCAGTTTTCTTTTAGACCTTTATTTGAATTCAGTGAGGTTTTTTTTTACTTTGCCTCAGTACACCAGCACACTGGATTTTAAAACAAACAATTAAGATGTGATCAAAGTGTAAAAGTTTAGCTTTAATTCAGTGGGTTTCAAATTCCCTGAGTAGTGGATTACAGCCATTTTTATAGTGCCCCATTATCAGGGGCTCAAAAGTAATTGGATATGAAATATCAGGATTGATTTTAATACTTGGATTAAAATCTTTTGTCAGTGACTGTCTTAAGTCTAGAATCCAAGAAATCCCACAAGATGCTTTGCAGGAATGTTACTACACCCACCTTCAACTTCCAGCAAAGGCTAACCTGGAAATCCTGTCAACTGAAATCAGCAGTTTGTGGACTGCTGCTTTCACTGTGGACTGTCTGAATTTACATCCACAAAGGTATTGATTGTAGACTTTCACAATGATACGCCTACGCCCTTCAGGACTTTAATGACTGATTGATGCTGTGTAGGTTTTGTCTTAGCCAAGGAAATAATTTTACAATTTCTTGACTCTTGTGGTGTTGCTGTGCTGAGAAGTGCATTCCTTCTTTTTAAGACTCTGATGATTTGCATGCAAAGTTTATATAATTCTTGACAGGTTAAGTTGGTTGTGCACATTAATTATTGCTTCCTTCACTTGCGTCATATTTCTTTGTACATCACATTGCTTGAAATCAACTCCAACGATTAATGCTACACTTCAGTCACATCTTCACTGTTTTAGAATACACTGTGGTGTACAGAGGCAACATTACAGAAACTGGTTAAATGTCCAATAACTTAGAGATCCATATATGTATTTTTTTGATGAGTCAGTGGATGTCTGGTTCATTAGTAGGCAAGGAAAGGTGGAGGACAACATAGTGTGTTTGTAGATGGTTTTATCAGAACTGGTTCAAAAAACAAAAAGCACCTATTTTCTTGCAGAATAAAAAAATAAAATGATGTACAAAAATGAAAACCTGGAATCAAAGCATACATATTTACCTGGTAGTATGTGCTGAGTTCTTTGCCATTGGCTGTGAATGTCAGCAGACCGTTTGTAGTGTCAACCAGGCAGCCAATCTCTAAGCCGTTGTTCCTCCCCTGACTGGGGCTGCTGCTTTCTCCACCCCACACCATGTAACAGTTGCTGCGTTTTATGCTGCAGGACACAAGTGGAAAGTAATGTAGAGTTAGGTCCATAATTTTCTGTTGTGCCTCTGTACATCACAACAGTGGATTTTAAGTCAAACAACCAATATGTGACTGAAGTGCAGACATTCAGCTTTAATTCGAGGGGTTTTATAGAATTTTTGCACGAACGTCTTAAGATCTTTAATTATTTTTATACGTAGTCTCTATTTTCAAATTATTTGAAAATTGAATTGGCCAGTTCCTTTGTTTTTCAGACTAAATGGTAAATGGACTGGTTCCTATGTACCACTTTTCTACTGCATTCTAGCTAAGACACACACGCACACACACACACGCACACACGCACGCACACACACACACACACGCACACACACACACACACTCATATTCAGAACAATGCATTCGAGAGCAACATGGGGTTAGCATTCTGCCCCGTTCTTTAACTGCATCCTGTATCTTCTGGATGAGGTAGTTTGCATGTGTTTATGTGTTTATCTGGATCTGTGCATTTCTCGATGTTTAAGTATTTTAGTGAATGAGTCAGTTTGTGTCTGTAAGCCTTTACAGGAGTGTGTGGTGGCTGCAATAAAGAAAAGTGAGTATTCCTAAGATTGCCCGGTACATTAATGGAAAATGTTGTGCTGCTCTAAACAAGATGTTATGATGGTGTAGATGTGCGTTATGAATGTCAATAATAATTCAGTGTCCAACATAACAGTCCAAAAGGCTTAAAATCCAGGCTTCCCCGGTGTATTGTAGCACAGATTAATTGCTGACTTTAATTTTGAATATAAGCTCCAAAGAGATGGCAGCACAAGTGAGAAAGGTCATCATAGAGTTGAGGGGTGGGAAGTGCTGAAGTTCAAATACTTTGTTATTCTGCTTAAGAAGAATTTTCAGGTATCTCTATTTTACTTGACCATTTATTTTCTGTCAACTTTTTACTGTAAACCCTACATTTTCACACAAATATCTGTACATTCTTTTCCTTAAATTTATAAAAAAGAAAAGGTGTATTGCTTTACATTGAAGACATTTGAAGGGAGTTTTTAGTTCCCTGCACTGCCGCCTTCAAACGTCAGACCAATTTCAGCCTAAATGGAGGGAACAGTAACACACTGATGTATCCGTCACCAGGGCTGATCCCATACAAAGAGATGAAAGAAGCAAAAACATAATTTGTGCATTATATATAGCTCTGTGATTATAATTGAGCCAGAGCCATCTGGAACTGCGTTTTTGGTGCAGATGTCCTTAAGTTTTAGTCGCAGTACTTCAGCATCTAGTAAGCCCTAAGGAAGAGTGAGCATAAAGGGAGCAATGGATTTTTTTTTTCAAATGCAGGGTTTCTAGAACGTTTCCAATCCACAAACATCATTGCAAAAACTGTGTGCATGCAGTTGGTCATATCGTGTGCTGGTGTTTTTCCCAACGACACTAAAGAGTGCAAGGTAATCAAAGGAGCTTGGAGAGAAAGTGACTGGAACTCACGAAGATGTTTAAACTCTCATCCAAGAGGCTTCTTCAAGTTCTTAAACCAAATGGTGGAGAGTCCGAGGTCTTTAACCCTTAATGAGGGTTGTCCCTTAAGAGGGTCGTTAATCATGTGCTTCATCACATTAGCCAGGGTTGAAAAAGGGAGTGGGTCTACCACTGTGAGACCGTGCCTCACCCTACGATTTGACCTATTAGGCCACCTAACACAAAATGTGAGTGGTGTTCAGGGAAGGAATCTGCATTGTAGGTGGCTGACAATTCGTGTTCTAAGCCACCACCTCTGTTCATGATGTCTATTTACAGTGGACATATATCACGTCTTTCAAATCATCTGTCTTCTCAGTCCAAACTGTGAACACTGGCATCTTCGAAAGAGTGACCTTTGATCTTTAGGTGCAAATGTAGAGCTGGACTAGGGCTGTGCAATATGACCAAAATCTCATATCCTGATATAAGACATCTATCGTCCGATAACGATATAAATCACAAAAATTTAACATTTTCTGCAAATTCTATCTCACCTGTTGTACTTCAGCTTGGTGATGCACAATATCACAAACAAGAGGCAACGGGCAGGGCAGAAATATGACATCAAAGCCAAAGTTCCAGAAGCTGCAGTTCCTCTAAAGGCCACTTGAGGCTGGCTCCAAAAGCAAATCAATCCCCACAGACTCCCATGTTAAAATGTCCATTTAAAAAGCTTTTTCATAGCATTGCATATATCCTACTGTATGGGAGGTTTCCCAGTTCATAACATGTTTTAACAGTCATCTATGGTGTGGCTGTGACTGAGAAAATGAAGGACACAGGACACCCACTGGCTAATGACAAGTCATTCATGAGCCCACCATTCGCTGTCAGATCCACCCTTTATCATGACATCTAGTGTAGCTACAGCCAACCTTACATAAAGTCTATGATAAAACATAAACAAGCTGATAAACAGGTGAAACATTCTTACGCTCACGCAAAATCCTGCAGCTCTGTTGCAACATGCCACTCAGCCCAGAAACATATCCATACACTTCCACAAGAGACTTGACTAACCTCTCATGAACTTTGCCCTTTTCATCTCCCAGGGTAACCGTGACAGTCCGGACCTTGTGCAGCTCAAAGCACGGGTCGTACTGATGGAAGTCAGAAGTCACCCAGCCTACCCAAACACTGCTGGGCTCCTGACCTGGGAAGATCCGCACTGAATAGTAGTACTGCAGAAAGAGCAAGAGGTGCAATCACAGGTAAACCAATACAGGAGTTAAAGCACACTGAGCATTTTGAACCAGGTTCAGCAAAAAACATTCATCTCCTATAAATCAAGCCACACTTGCTCACTGGATTTATGAGCTACTCATCATGACAGTTGTCTTACAGTGGAGGCTTGCATGAGGAAATCAGAGCTAACTCTGTCATCAGCCATCACCTCCTCCGATACACGAGCAGATGAGGGACAGCTGTTGTCTGGCTTGTTTCTCTTCAGCGTCAACCTGGTAGATTGGATTAAGAAATAAACACCATGAAAGAGAGGAAAGAGATTGCTAGAGTTCAAAACCTTGGATAAATATCACAAGAGGAACATTTAACAATCTGAAGCCTCATTAATGTGATGTTAATGAGTCAAGGGTTTGTTGAGAGGATGGAGGGATTACCGCTGTTTGAGCTTGGAGGGCTTCTCCTGGTTATAATCTTTGTGGTTGTTGAATTCATCTCTGTCGGGTCCATTGGGACCATTATGACTGTGAGATGACTTCATCAGGACCTCAAAATCTGACACATTTTCAAAGTCCTCCAACTCCTGCAGAAACACACAACTGAATGCACAACACCACTGCAACAGGAAGTAATCAAAGAAGTCCTGACATAAATCTGTTATACTCTGTTTTAGGTCACTGTATAATATCACCCAGACCTTTTAGTCACGGTTTGTTCAGTGGATTCATGAGACTTTGTAAAAAAAACTAAGAAAATTGTTAAAAAATGTTGTGAAGGAGTTGAACATGATTTTGTTCAACTAATGTAGTTAGATATCAGTCTCCATGTTTCACAGCAGCTTTAACAGAATCACTACGACTACTATAACATTATTAATTATAAATTATTTCAACGTCACAAGCTAGAAAACTGTGAGAGAAGCCAGGTGTCAGATATCAAGTTAACAGTGTTGTAAAATGCCACCTAAATCCAGAGCAGAGACAGAATCAGACGACGAATATGGGACTCTTATGACTTGGTGTTGCTACAACAGCAACAGGAAAACTTTAAAAGCTTTGTCAGAGTCATTATGGATTCAATAAACTCCAGAACAGAGGCAATAAAAAGTGAGTTATACAAGATCTAAACAGGCCTTCAGTTTACACATAAAGACGTGGATCACATAAAATCTGAAACTGAAAAATTGAACTCAACAACTCGTTGCAGTCTAACATTCAACGTGTGTGACATTCTGTTGGCTGTCACTAACAAGATGGCGTAACAACCTAGTAACTGAGCGTATTGTGGAGTCACTGGGGGAGACCTGAACAGAGGAGAAAGTGAAGAAAATTCTTTCAGAAAAGCTACAACTGGAAATAAACACACCAAGCCCCACACTTCTGCACATTGTTTGTAACAAGAGGCGATTTGAGTTACTGCTGTAGCTCAACGCGGATGATCATTCTCTTCAGACCTCTAACAAGGCATTTTTGCCCAGAGAACTCCAGCTCCTGCATTTGCATTTATGCATTTTTGATTGCATTTATATGAGTTTTACAAAAAGTATCTGTTACCCTCTTTGGTGAGAAGAGGCTGCCGTTTGGTGGGCACCTGGTTTCGGCACATTCTATGGGCATGCTAAGTCTGTAGAAGGTAATGTCAGTGTAGCTGTTCTGTGAGCCGAAGGACTTCTGAGTGACCTTCAGGCATGGACAAGACTCTATTGTCTCGTCTATCCTCGTCACCTGAAAAAGAAACACAAACATATGTTTTATTCAGCTCAGCTTATTTTTTGGTTATTTATTCAACACGTTTGTTAAATATTGAGAATGTGTTGAAATGTATCCACGGTCCTGTCCTCACCTCGATGTGTTGGTGGTGGAGGGGTACTGGTACAAACTGAGGGAGCCTCTTGCTAAGCCACATGGTGACATCCCGGTTCATGTTAACAGCAAAAGGCTCATAGCCTTCTTGTAGGCCACAAATGGTGAAGTACTTTAAAGTGCTGACATCTTTACCAAAGTTCATTCTCCCAGCCTGACACACGCCCAGACTGCAAACTGGTATAAAACCTGTGACAGACAAAAACAGTCAAATCCTATAAAACATATATTAATTATGTATCTTAAAATCTGCGCACTAGATAATCTACTTCTTTCACATCTAAATGCTATCATAGTCAGTGCTCCTTAATCACCAAAATTATGTTTTGTTTTTGCCTCTCTGGCCAAGAAATACGCCCAACAGGTTTATTTTCCCAAGCAGACCATTACGGCTTTTGCTGGTCCACTTGATTGTCATAGGTTATTTGATCTTTTTTTTTTTTTTTTTACATTTTAAGTTATTACAATCAGAATGGACAGGACCGGAGGACAGAAAAGAGAAAGAAGAAGAGAAGAGATGTTGGGAAGTGAGTTATCATCAAAACTATTCTGACATATTTACCTTTGGGAACCTTAAATCAAAGAAGACAATGCTAAGAAATGAATCTGGTAGACTTATCGGCTGCTGTCCAGATAACATTACTGAGCTTTAGGACTATTAATAAAACAGAGGTATAAATATCCTGTTTCTAAAAGTGGAGTTACTCTGACTTCCAAGAAGAAACCTGAAGCATTCAAAGTGTTTTTTGCCATCAGTCTTAAACTAAACTGCAGTTCAAAGGATATGCTGGTTAAGCGCCTCGGCATCAGCTTGTAAGATAGTAAATGATGACTATGTTGTATAGAAGAAGATGCACTGTGCACTTCATTGATCTGTTTAAAACACTGGACACAGTGACAGTTGCATTGACAGCCAAATAATAATTTGGCTTCGGCTTAAAAAAATGACAGACTGTGCTTCCTTAGGAAATGCCCATTTCCTGCTCCTTCCCTAATTTTGTACAGCCTCTGTATTGGTCTTCCACTTCAGCTGGTTGTATATGTGGACACCTGGATCCTTATATTCCTCCACCACATAAACATATTCTTCTAGGATAGACATTTGATATCTCTATACTGTCTTAAAATTGCTGTGAAGAGTTGGTATCCTATATTTCATACAGTGTATCCAGATGTTGCACCTTTGTAATAAAAGCTTTGCTTTCCAATTTATTTACTACTGACGAAATATATTTATATCTATCATCATTGGTTTAAAAATTAACTGGCAACAGTATGGTCAGTCATTTAGTTTTGTTTTTTTTTCCAAATGCCAAAGTTTGCTGGTTCCAACCTCTGTGTTAAAAGTTTTCTAAGTAACGACTGACATTTTAAGAGTTTCCTACAGAAATAGTTAGCTGTTAAAAAAATTCATAGTTACAAACTTTGAAACATAGGAGAAACAAATTTAATTAAATGTAAGAAACAGGCTAACAAAATTGACAGACTAATAATTGAGTAAACATGTTCTTTCATCAGTTATTTACCCAGAAGAACACTTGGGCCACCTGCTTTCCCTAGTTGGTATGTTTAGTAAGATTTACTCTTTGGTCTTGAAAATGAGCAGTGTCTCCTGTTTTTACAAATGCATGTGCTGTCCAGGACAGAGTACTGACCTTCACCGACTTCAAAGTCCTTGAAGGCCAGCTCTGATCCAGAATCATCCAGCAGCACTTCTCCATTGAGTGTGAACATCATGGTGTGCTCATTCAGATCCACCATGCAGCCCACCACATCTCCTATCTGCCAGGCTCGGCCAAAGTGTTCATTCCCCTGGTGCCAGCGCTGCACCTAGAAAACACAGTACATGCAGGGGTGCGTGCACACACATGCAGTTACAGGGATGATCAGTGTGGAGATGTAGTGGTGTTATTACCGAGGCTTTTGTCTACCCATTAGAAAAAATATTGACTGTTTTTGCCATTTCTATGATGCTCATAGTATGCTGAATCAAATTGTCTATACATCCATCCATTGTTTAGTGCTTATTAAGGTCACTGTGAAAGTGGTCTAAGTAACCAGGCCAGGCCACTCTCTCCTTGGCCAACACAAGATGTGTGCGGGTTCAACTCCTTCAAGTTGAACATGAAAGACCTGGACCAAAGATTGCTGATGTCATCACTGCACTGGCAGTCTACCCATCGGTTCCCCACTCTTCCCCTACCCACTCATGAATAAAAAGCTGAGATACTTCAAGCTTTTTCACCTGGAGCAATAATTTGTCTCCAACCTAAGGTGTCCAGTCAGTCCTTTTACAGCTCAGGACCTGATCTCAGAATAACAAGTGTTAAAAGAGATTGTATTTTTTCATAACTATAAGTTGGATTAAGAACTAATCATAGGATGTAAAACTGACTCATTTATTAAAAATGTAGGTTATTGTAAAGAGGCTGATGTTTTTCATTTTTCTGTGTAAAGATAATGAACATTCACATTAGAAATAAAAAAAAATGCCTGAATGTAATAAATAAATGAGATTTGTGAAATGACTGCACCTTGAAGCCATCAAAGACAAATGCCTGATCATCAGAGCCCAGCTCCTGGTCTGGTAGACATCCTGGCCTGGCCCAGCCGACCCTCATCTCTCCAGCTGTTAGAACCTACATGATTAGGACCACATTAATATCCAGTTTGGAAAGTGTTTTACAAATATAATAAAAGGCATATTTGTCTTATTTCTAGTCAAAATAATTTCATCACATTTAAAATAAGACAAAATCAGCTAAAGAGTAACATCCCAGTAAGATATATTAACTATATTAATTTTCACTTGTTCCATTGGCAGATTTTTTTCACTTAATACAAGATACTGTTGCTTGAAATAAGAGGAAAAAAAATCTGCCAATGGAACAAGTGAAAATTTTCTAGTTTCAAGCTCCACAGTCTAAAAACAAGTTTATATATATATATATACATTTATGTATATATACTTATGTATATATACTTATGTATATATACATAAGTATATATACATATGTATATATACATATGTATATATACTTATGTATATAGATATATATATTTCAGACAATGTCTGAATGCAAGCCTGTTTATCTGAACATTACAGTTTCACCTTTTCACATTCACAAAATGTTTTATGCTTTTATACTTGCTCATGATTCACAGTCAAATCCATTTTACAATATTCGTATTGCAACGAACATAAAAACATTTAATTATGCTTAAATAGATCCAGTTTAAAGTTTTACGGGTCTAATGCTTAGAAAAAGCAGCACTGCACTGCATGGGTTCCCCAAACCGCAGCTCAATTCATGTCTAAGCCATCCACCTTTATCTACTAAAACACTGTCAAACCTAAAGTGAGGACGTGGGCCCAGCGAGTGAATCAAAATCATCATCATAAAAAACAAATCAGTGGCTGATTGTATAAGGGTGTAAAATTAAGTTGAGTAATTTGTTCAGGAAAATATTTCCCAAAGTAAGGATGTATTAGGAAGATGTTTCACAGAGAGCTTAATATTTGTATCAGACAATCTCTGATGTATTTCAGTGATGCTCATTAAGCGTTTTATCTCAGTCACAACTATTTTCTTGCTTCTTACCTCCAGCTCAAAGTACCACTTCCCAGTATTAACACAGTATGTTTTTTCTGCTCTGAAAATGCGGAACCTCTCAGCCGACACGTTACTCAGGCCCGATTCAGCTGCTGGATGGCAGGGAGGCATGGGAGGAATGAGAGGTAAAAACAGGTGGACTTGGTGAGCATCTTCACAATGCAATGTCAAGGAAAAAATCTTACATCTTACATACTGTACTTCTGAATATTTAAGGTGTTTATTTTTCTCTCAAAAGTTATGGAAATGAAAAGAAAATACAATGAATGATGGTTTTTACTGAAGCAAACATGTTGTACCATGGTCTTGGTCAGGAGCTTCAAGATTGTATCCATATCCCAGGAGAGTCCTGACAGCCTCTCTCAGACTGTCTTTGTTCGACTTTTTGGTTCTCTCATCCAGAAGAGCGTAGGGGACCAGACGAGGGTTTCTACGGTTCTTTAAATCCTGACAAGAGACACAACAAGGTTACAAAATGGAAAAAACAACAACAAAAAACAAAGAATTAAAGAATTTATATAATAGAAGAAAGAATTAGCCTGTTAGAATTTACAGCTAAGAGGGGACACAGCAGCATTTCGTACCACTGGGGTGGCCTTGAACAGAAACAAACTGCAGTTCCTCTAACTGCCATTGAGGGTTCCTCCACAATTTTGTCAATACATAGGACTGTTTTCTTTTAGAAAGTAATGCTGACAAACACGTTCACGTTATTACTTCTAGGCTGTAATTCAGTATTATCAGGTTGTTCAAAAACTCCCTGAAAAGTCTTTATTTGATCTAAAATGCTGCAGCAATTCTAATGATAGGAACTAGAAAGAGAGAGCATGTTTCTCCCATACTGACTTCTCTTCATTGGCTCCCTTTTAAACCGAATGTCAAATTTAAAATCACTGTCATCAAATACAAGGTCTTGAACTATCAGGCCCCATCTTATCTGAAAGGCCTCGTAGTACTTTATCACTCAATAGAGCACTTCACTCTCACACTGCTGGCTTGCTAAGTAGGAACTTTTGGTTGCTAGGGTAGGAGATGATTTTATAGAAGAGGGTAAGCCCTCTTCTATAAAATCATCTTAGTTACACTGAAATAGGTCTAGACTGTGGGGGGTTCCCATGATGCACAGAGTGCATCGGAGTGTGAATGTGTGTGAATGTTGGTTAGTTTGCACTTGAGTTTAGCAGTGCTTGTATATGAGCGGGTGTGAATGGGTGAATGAGGCATGTTGTATACAGCGCTTTGAGTACTCCATGAGAGTAGAAAAGCGCTGTATAAGAATCGGTCCAATCAGTCCATTCTTCACACCTCTTTTCACTACCTGTGTGTTTATATAGCACATTGCATGTAATCATTAGTTACTATTAAACTCTGGCTCTCGTCCACAGTATGTGCTTGTCCTGTCTTCCAGTCGTAACCCACAGCCCACGACTGCTGTGACTGGCTTGGGGGTGCAGATTGGTTCTGACACAGGTTTCTTCATGTTAAAAGGGAGTTTTTCCTTACAATATAAAACAACTTGATCATTGTTGTCTGAAATGAATTAAATTGATTTCAAATGTTTAAACATTGTGAGTACCTGTTGTATGCCATAGGTCCAGCCCTGGCGGATGCGATCTCTTGCCCAAACATTGTGTGCATTCTCAGCTAGCTTGTCCACCATAGCTTCCTGGGTGGAGGTCAATTTGATGTGACTCAGATCCAGAGGAGCAGGTTTATAACCACTGGATAACTCATAGCTGCACAGATAGAGGTGAAGTACTGCATTGTTATACAGAGATCCTAAATACCCAGAATGTGCTGATGTCTGAGACCAGTCCATTTTCATCCAGTTCAACATGCCAGTGGGGGTTTCTGTTGCTCTAGTCATAAACACTCACCAGCCCTCTGAATCAACTTACTTTGTGGCAAGGTGCTTGACGTGTTATATAATGAGTTTTTATTTGAGTTACTTTTGCCTTCCTATCAGCCTGAAGCAGTTTGACCATTCTTCTCCAACATCACCTGCCGCTCACTGGATATTTTCTCTTTTTTGGACCATTCTCTTTAAATCGTAGAGATGTTAATGTGGAATAATCTCAGTAGATCAGCAGTTTCCGACAGTCTCTCAGGCACCAACAACCATGCCACATTCAAAGTCACTTCACCGTCACCTTTCTGATTGGTGTAAACTAATCTTGGCCATATCTGCATCCCAGAATTCATGCAATTGGATAATTAGATATATCTGTCTTAACAAGCCATTGAACACATTTAACTTCCAAAGTGACTGGTGAATGTGTATATTCTTCTGTACCCAGCTGTTATATATGGAACTGACATTTTGTTTTAATGGTTTAATGGTCTTACGTTGATGAAAGTTTCATGTTCTTGACTTTCTCTACAGCGTGTTCATCTGCTAGGCCAACATGGCAACCCAGAGCCAGGAGAGTTCTGTAATGGGCAATAACACAATCACAAAGAAAAGTGTGAATGGGATGTGCAGATGCTTGTTATGAATTTCAACAATAACTGATGCTCCTGCAACGTCCAAAGAAAACTTACTAATATATATGATGAAATTTCAAATTTCATTGCACTGATACATTACTTGAGAGTTTCCAGAGACATCTGTAGATTGTAGCTTCGTTCCTGTTCAGGAAGCTTGGAGAACTCCACCAGACATGGGTGCTGCCGCTTATTATCATCCCGCACCTCAAGCACACATGCAAAGAAAAAAGAAAAGTTTAGGGCAGCCAGGACACTAATAGTAACCAAGCTGTAGCTAAATACATAACATATCTGATGTCATGTATTTTTATAGCGAAAATATTCATCGGTTCATTCTGACAATATTCAAATAAAGAAAAGGATCAACAGTATTTCATTGAAGGCTCTGGAGCAACAAGAGCTGAACCATCAGACTGAAGAACAGTGTCTTCCTGGACGCTAAAAGTGACCGGCTAAAAAGCTTAGTGACCGGCAGCCTCTGTTACCTACAGTCACAGTTAACCTTTGCATTGTCCATGGTACACAACTTTATACACTTAGAAACTGACCTGCAATTTCTAAATCTTGTGATATATCTTCTATATCTTAATAATTCCACACTTGCTCTGGCCTCTTTATCCTTCAAGTTAGAGAGTCAGTATCTTTCTGCGCAGTATCTTTGCTATTCCTAGGACTGCACTATTCTGCAGTCTCTCACGTTCTAGTGTTTGTTCTCTCTGTTGGATGTCATTCCTGGGATCTGCTGGAGACACTTGCTCAGTTTGGGGTCACTGCACCAAGTGCTCCCATTAGCATGGGGGCCACTGGTAGGATTTCTCAATATCAGCCATTTCTTCTGTCTGCTGATGGTACATGCCGTGCAGGGGCCTGTTCTTTCACGATGGTTCCTATTTTTGTTCCTCTTCTTTCTCGGGTTTCTGCTGAATCAGGTATTGACTAAGCATGTAATCAGTTGTGGCCATCTTCCTGATGTGCTCATGGATGTTTGTTCTTTCATCTTGGATCATGGTTCTGATACAAACCAGTCCCAGTTCAGCCTTCCTTCCACTTAGGCTGCGTTCACACTGCAGGTCTTAATGCTCAATTCCGATTTTTTGATCAAATCCGATTTTTTTGTCTGCTTTTTCACACTACAAATAAAATGTGACAGCAAACGCGCTCTAGTGTGAACACTCAAAGTGCCCGCATGCGCAAAAGAAGACGTCACACACAACGCGCTCTGTTTAGACCCAGAGCAACAGTATGTTTGACCGATGGCCTTAATATAAAGACTTGTTTCGGACTTTACGTTTCCCAATTTTGCTTTAAGTTATAAAGTTATTTTGTTATTTACATATGGCTTAATAATGATCCTTATTGCTGTTTTAGAGGAGCGGTGCTTCAAATTTCTGTCAGAATCTGCAGATTATACAGTACAAATAAAATGTTCACGTTTCTCCAACGTTGTTCCCAACAGTTTCACTGGAGGGCCAGGAAGGTTCGCAATGTCTTATCGGGCGCTGATAATTGGCGTCTGTCTTGCGTCAGTGACGTAGAAGACGGATTTAATGCGACGTGACCATCAAACAGCAGTCGCTTTCTAAAACATCAGATATGTATCGGATTCAGGACCACATACGAAAGTGACCCAGGTCGGATTTGAAAATATCAGATTTGTGCCGTTCACACTGTCATACCATGATCGGATAGATGGTCGCAGAGGGTCAAAAAAGTCGGATTTGAAGTGCTTTCGCCTGCAGTGTAAACGTAGCCTTAGTGTTGCAGTCTCACGGTCCTGGACTTTGGGTGAAACCCTCCAAGCATGGTAAGCAGCATCCTTCTCTTGATGTCAGTGGCTTCTATCGCTTCCTTTGGCCAACTTATATTCCAGCAGGGTAACTGATCAACTGTAGGGCATAGCTATTGATTGCCCGGATCTTGTTCTTCCCATTCAGCTCTCCTCAGGACTTTCTTCTGGGCATTCCAGGATCCAGGTGTGAAGCACTAAGTCGTAGGCTTTCTGGTAGTGCACAGGTTAGTCTGGTCTTATAACCATAACCAGTGCTCTATCTGTCAGTAGCTGGTGGGGGGAGGGGATGATGACATCTCCCCCATGACCTGATGTCCTGGCTCTCCCTTGCTGTAGCATTTGTGTTGCACTTATCAATCTCTAGCTGTGATAGCAGTTGCTTCTTCTGTATGTTGTAACACTGAGCTACTGCTACAGGTGCTGAAGAATCTATCAGCCCCAAATCCTCTTTATGTAACCTGTTTAGCTGGGATTACACGCATAGCAGCAGTCCACCAGGTATTATGTACAGGTATTTGTTTTCATTTAATAATACTCACTGCACCATAGATCCAGCCTAATTCTATCTTGTTCATCACCCAGAGTTCATGGATGTTTTCTGCTAGTTTTTCTCTGATCCTTTCCAAGTGAGGTGGCAAAATAATCTGAACATTAAAACAAACAGCGTTTTAGTTACTGGTTATGGTTAAGGGAAAAAAAACTTTATTGAATGACTTCAAAAATAATTAAAAAGTGAACTTAAATCAAGTGTGTTATTGAGAAAAATGGAGCAAGACATTTCTGACCTGGCTGGTGTCTACAGGTATAGGGGTGAATGCTGCCTGGCTCAAAGTGACAGTCGGTCCCAGCTGATCTCTGGTGGCAGTCTGATCCTGACTAGCCTCCAGTTTCAGTTTCTCCCTGGGCAACACTGCTTCATAGCAAGGGGCATAACCAGGAGGAGGGAGGAACTTAAACTCCCCATGACGCCCACCAAGGAGGAATCGCACCCTGCAGGTGAAACAGGAAAGTTTGTGAAAACCAGAAAACAGCCCAGTGGCAGCGCTCCTGGGACCGACATTTATGTGATAGATCTGGGACAAAAATTGCCTTAGGCATTCAAATTTGGGATGTCAGTGATGATGATGATGATGATATAAAAAGAAAGGTACCAAAAACATGTGAGTTAGTCAGCCTGCTACAGTTGTGCTATTTGTCTTCATATTGCTGACCAATTGATATACTGTTACATTTTTGGACAGTGACAGAGTTTTTGGTACTCTTGCCTCCGTACACACCATTGTGAGTTTTAAGTCAAGCGATCAAGATCCAATGAACCCTTTCACTAATACTGGTCACTAGAGTGGACAGCTATTCAAAGGCTGTTTTCTTGTATTTGTGTCAGTGTTGATGGTATACTTGCACATAAACCACTACATTGGACACTGATGTGTCACTCCATACCTGCCACTCACTGGCCGTTTAATGATACTGTAGATCAGGGGTCGGCAACCCTGGGCACACGTGATTTTTTTTTTTATTTTTAGTAACTATAAACAATGAAAGGTGGTGGATTGGCCAGGTGCTGGCAGATCTGTAAAAATAACTCAGTTGTTTGGTGGTGGTTTCTATGGCGGAGCTTCCACAGAGGCCAGCAGGTGGATGAGGGAAAGGGGAGGCAGGAGGAGGAGAGACCCGAGGCGGCCGCCGGTCCGAGTGTCAGGTGAACTGAACTTCAGGTAAGAAGTTACGACCTGCAGTCCATCTGGGTCAGATATAAACCAAGTTTAGGTGGAGTTTATTTTCGTTGCGCTGACTTTTTACAGTCAGTTACAATAACTCGTACTGCTTACTAGCTAGCATGACGGAGTTTCTATACAGCTGGGTGGTGCTATGATGTTACTGATAGTGAACTTTATTTTATTCATAAGGTTAGTTAGTAGAGTTGCCAACCGTCCCGTAAAAACTGAATCGTCTCGTATTCAGAGAAAATATTACACGTTTCGTATTGAGGTGAAAAGGAGCACAGTTTGTCCCGGACTTCAGCTAGAATGGAAAAGCTGGATTTATTCTGTGTTTACGCTGCACAGCTGCCTCTTCTTCTCTCATTCTCTCCCCCTCCCTCTCCTGTTTCTACTTCAATCATGAAACTGATCAATGATCAGATGATCGGCTTTTCTGTCACAAGTCCCATCTCTCTTGTTTGTTTATCGCTCGCTCTGATGCAAAATGTATAGAAATGTACAGAAATCATACATATACCAACAAGACAGTGTACATCACTGTCACAACAGCGTCTGTTTTCATACAAAGGCTTTATGGCTTTAATACCTGGTGGGTTGGTCTCGTCAAAATGCCCGTGTCCCAGTCCAGCCTTGGGCACGACACGCAGTGAAATAATCTGATAAGGTGCATAAAAAATAAATGGCCAGCGGTGCACATCGCAAATTAGCTCGCATACACACATTAGTTGTGCCGCTTCTTAATGACAGTATCTTAGCTAACAACCCCAACTACCAGATTCGACTTGTAATTGGCTAAAAATAACTTTGCCTACCAGTGAGAGGGACGTTGCTAGCTGGCAGTTTTTTCAAGCGATGTTGAAATTTCCACATTCAGACACTTCAAATGCTTCAGAAGCTGTCCGCTCAGCGCAGCATCAGCACCATGGAAATACATTCAAAGACTGAATTCACAATGAGTTTTTGGGACTTTCAGGTTTATGGACCAATGTTTTCTTTTCTGATCAAACCAGAAATCTTTAATGAGCAGCTGGATTTGTCTCGTATTAACTGCCTGGACACAGAGGACATCGAAATGCAGCTGATTGAACTGAAAAGCTCGACTCTGTGTAACTGTCTTCAGAACATTGCAGAGGCCTTATTGACAGTGTTTGGCTCTACATGTCTGTGTGAGCAGATTTTCTCTCACATGAGTCCTCAGGTAGCCTCTGAATGCTGGACACTCGGAGACCTGTGTCTCTGAGTGGGAGACCAGAGATCACATTAACATGTGTGTCTCTGTATTAACAAACATGCCATATTGGCCCAGTTTATTATTTCGCATCATTGTTGTGAGGAGACCATAAATAGCATTTGCACTCTTTGTTGTATTTGCTGTTAGGGATAAAAAAGTGTTTTTTTGTTTCAAAATAGCTGATAACTATTCGCTGATAGCTGCCAACATCTGCAAACAAATATAATTCTATAAATTTGTTCTATATAGTGTGTAACTGTTCATATAGAGCGTTATTAAATTTATTGCTAATGCAATTATATGGCACACTGACTTCTGAGGAAATTTTAGATGGCACTCATCATCAGAAAGGTTGCCGACCCCTGCTATAGATGTATGACGTGTTTCATTGTAATGATTGTCATTTAACCCTGCCATGCATGAATTATGACAACCTCAATCAGGATTTTTTCTTAAGTATTTTTTATTCATCTTTTAATGCCTAAAGATGAATTAAAATACTTAAGAAAAAATCCTGATTGAGGTTGTCATAATTCATGCATGGCAGGGTTAAAGTGCTGACATTGAGCCTTTCAGGGGTTTAACAAAAATAGGTTCATTGCATTAACTGACGAGGAATTTTATGCATAGCTCCCATTTTCGTGGGCGCAGAAGTATTTGGGCAAATTAACATCATTTGTTTTTAATACTTATATTAACATTCATTTGCTTTACTAGGTTGAGATAAAATGACTGACTTGGCCAGTAAAGAATATTCTATATGTGACGAGACATTAGTTTGTAGGTTTGAACCCCTATATATTGAAAATTCCAGCTAAAAGCTAAATACCAAATCTACAGGGTGGGCCATTTCTATGGATACACCGTAATAACATGGGAATGGTTGCTGATATTAAAGTCCTGTTTGTGGCACATTAGTATATGTGAGGGGGTAAACTCCTCAAGATGGGTGGTGACCATGGTGGCCATTTAGAGGTCGGCCATCTTGGATACAACTGTTGTTTTTTCAATAGGAAGAGGGCCATGTGACACATCAAACTTATTGGTACTGTCACAAGAAAAACAATGGTGTGCTTGGTTTCAGCGTAACTTTATAAATCCCGGTGATATCACATAATTGTTGTCCTAATATAACAACAACCCCACTGATAACTTTTGCAAGACACTCATCAGGCAGTTATTGTAATAGTCTCAGAAGTATGCTACGCTGTTTTTAGGACAACAATCACTCTACAAAATCAGGATGTGCATGTAAGTTGTGCTTATAGTCATTATACAGTTGCAAATCCATTTTAAAAGACAAAAATAAAGCAAGCTTCATGGAGAACAAAGACAATAACTCTGTTATCATGCTGTGTTGATGAGCTTCAGTGAAACACTGACTTGACCCCAGCAGAGAAGCTCGCCACTGGGAAGAAAAGGCCATCAGAGTTGAAGTTCTCAAACATGCCCTGAACTGGCTGGCCATTGATTCTGAAGGAGATACTGGGCACACTGAGGTCCAGGCAGCAGCTCACCACATCTTCTGATCGAAGGAGATGCTGATTGGGTGAGCTAACAGTCCGCGCAATGCAGCCTGCACAGGATACACAGAAGTGCAGCGAGAATTAGTTTAGTTTGATTCCAGTCTGAACTGTTTAAGTACAAAACGACATCAGAGTTTATACCAGGACATTTTTCCATTATGGTTTTTGCTTTTACTTTACAGAGTATTTCCTACGTTATTGTGATCTATTAACATGCTCACAAAAGCATTTATGTTTTCTTTTTTTCTTTTTGGCCTTTTTCAGCAGAAAAAACATCTTGCAGGCACTTTGCATAACTGTCCAACAGTTTAAAAAAAACATAGTTTCATACAAAGATCTTTTCCTTTTTTAAAATCTATTTCTGTGCATTTTAAAATAAATAAATAAATAAATAAATAAATAAAAGGATCCATAACTCGAAAGTGTCCTAAAAATGGCGAACGTGGTTCAGGGGGTTGGGAAGCTCATCTTGTAACCGGAAGGTTGTCGGTTCAATCCCCAGCTCTGTCTGTATTGGTCGTTGTGTCCTTGGGCAAGACACTTCACCTACCGCCTACTGGTGTTGGCCAGAGGGGCCGATGGCGCGATATGGCAGCCTCGCTTCTGTCAGTCTGCCCCAGGGCAGCTGTGGCTACAATGTAGCTGCCTCCACCAGTGTGTGAATGAATAGTGGCATTGTAAAGCACTTTGTGGCTCTTGAAAAGCGCTATATAAATCCATTATTATTATTAAAATGTACACCGTATTGGTGCTTTCTGATATGATGTTAAATTAATAGCTGAATTAACAGCTGTAAGCTGCTCAGTTCTTGAGGCAGCACAGCACTCTCACACCTAAAGATTGTGACCACTATAGTCCACATTCAGTAGTCTCACATTTCAATGGGAAAACATACTGACAACTGCCAGTGCCACCCTTCAGTCTCCTGTTAGACACACCTATGGTATTAATTTCAAAATCTTGCTTATTCTCAAGATATCACATTCACAAGATTTTCAGAAAACATTAGTTGAGATCAGTGAGATTCTAGGAGGTCCTGCCATCCTCCAATTTGAAAATCCTAGGTGACTTCCATCACGAGTTATTGTATTCACAGTATTTTGACCTTTAGGTTGAGGTCACTGAGTAGATACAACTATGGTATTAATTTAAAGCTCCTACATTACCTCATTCTAGGGCTGAGGGGTAAAAATGATTCTGCACAGACTTTCATTATCAGTGAGTTAGTAATCAAAATCACACTGGACACACACAGCTCACCTGACCAAAGATGGAGTCCATCAAAGCCATAGGAATAGAGGTCATCACCCACCCCGTTGCCTCCCCACCCCTCTCCTCCACTGGGGTATGGTGCATAGCCATTGGTGTTGCCCCAACCCACCCTGAGGTGAGTGGCCTCTGCTGTGACAAATGGCAAAACCTGATCCACAATCAGCTCGTAGTACCACTTCCTGTACTGGGCAGAGCCCTCACTGACGCCCAAAAAGATGTTGGGTCGCATGCTGTTGGAGTGAATGAATGTCAGTGAGTAGGTAAATCCATTACTGACATGGGATTCCACAATCCGACCATTGCAAATGTTTGTATTTGTTTACCTGCTTATGTGGTTGATCAGGCGGGTCTGCAGTAATAAATCTCTTCCTGGCAGCAGGTTGTCACAGATCAGGTGCTGGTTAGAGCGCACTGCCACACCGTGACACACACACAGTGAACACAGCACGTCTAGAACCTAAATGGTATTTATAAACAAGACGGATAAGATGTTATTGTCTCTACGATATAAAGAGACACAAGTAAACAGGTAGTGACATCTATACTGAACTGCTGAAAAGGTCAGTGGTGGCTGGAGACACCACAGAGGGCTCAGAGCGTCCGTTCAGTCTGTATTTCTGACTGAAACCTACTACAATGAACACATGAGTATCAGGACTGTACCATGGAGCAATGGGAAAAGGTGGCCTGGTTTTCTTTGACATCTGGTGACAACCCAGTGCATTTAGCTGTTACTCAAAGAAATGATGGGAAACACTGCAAGCTGGCACAGGCAGTGTGATGATGACACAAGAAACTTTTGGTCCTTAATGGTAACAGTATTCCCTGATGGCCATAACCTTTCCCATCAGGATAATGCTCCTTGATACTAAATGATTTCAACACAACAAAAGGTCCAGGATGTGGATCTTCGGTGCGATACACTGCAACAAGTTAGATCCATGGAGGCCTTACAACAAAGTACTGAGTGAAAGGATCTGCTGCTAACATATTGAGTGTGTTAGCAGGATGTATGTTAAGTAAGAGCTTTTAATGAGCATAAGATGGACCTAAAAAATATTAGATTGCTTGTTTTAAACACCATGTATAGATGTTCAGACTTTAATGTGATTGGTACTACATCCATGCTTCAGCATGAAAAAAGGGTGAAATAACAAGGCGGAGTCATAAAACATATCTCGCCAGACGTAATAAGGAGAAGTCGTCCTGCAACAGAGGGTCTGACCTCACAGAGTCCTGTTTTCAACATCATGGAGTCAAATAAAGAAACAACACATACCGACAGAATCTAAATCAACAGAATAACCAAGGCAAGCTATCCAAAGAACAGCCTTTCTACCTATAAAAAATGATGCAAGTGTACCAGGGATAACTAGGCTTTAAAATATACTATCATCACCAGTTTATGTTTGTGGGTAAGTAAGTGCCCGTACCTTGTGGTTCCGACCATGTTTGTCCAACAGAGATATGATAGACTTGATATGTTCCTCTTTGATTATGTTAAGTGCTTCAGGACTCTCCACCAGTACACAGTGAAGCACCTCCAATATACCTGTAATTGAAAAATAAGGTGCAGTGTGACGATAACTTGATTCAAAACCACAGTTCACAAAAAGCTAAGAGTCGGTTTTACTGTCAAAGTTTGGAGAACCGATAATGGCTGTACAGGTCCCAAAGCTAAGAGCAGAGGCAACTAGCTTACTCATCACTCAGCTCTACATCTTACTGTCGTTAGATATGTAAAATAATGGAAATACTTCTAAAACATACAGGACACCACTAAAAGATTGAATTACAAATGCAACTAGAGCAAATAGAGAAAATAAATAAAATGTTAAAAGTGCTTTTTAAATATTTCTTTTTTAAGTTATTTAAATATTGTTCGATTAATTTGCAACTGATTTTTGTAAATTTTTATCGATGTATTGCCAGATCATAACAACAGAGTAGTTAATGCCTTTTTGTATTTTGTAATCGTCGATTCTGGTGTATTTCTCTCCGTCTTCACTTTCTTCCCTTTTGAATGTATGATTTGTTAAACCTGCTGGTTCATGTTGGACATCATCATCCTGTTTATAGTCTTTTCTCTTGCCTGCCCTTTGACTGTTTCCAGGTTCCTTCTACCTGTGGTTTGTTACAAGTCATCACAAAGCAGGTTACACTGTAAGGTAAAGACAGTGTCACAGGTAGACTCTAAATCATCAGAATGTGAGTACTAGGTAGACTACCCCATATGTTGGTCGTTGCCGTGGTTTCTCTGCTGTGTTTTTGTTGTTTTTCTTCAGCAGATTTTCACTGTTTTTGCTCTCTCTCCATCTGCTTCTCTATTTTTCTTTCCCTCTCCTTCTGTGAACTTTGTGCTCAACTTCTCTTTCTTTCCTCTTTTTCTTTTCCATCCCCCAGTTTTGTCCATTGTAATTGTAATAACTCAAAAATCCTAATAAAGTTCTAATAAAATATGACTACCAGGTAGACCATTATGGCAAACGGTTCACTTGGGAAAGTAAATCTGTTGGGCATTTTGGTCTTCTCACGACAGTTCTGATTGGACAAGAACAAAAAAAACCCTCTAGTCACGCCTTACTTTTCGATAGGTCCATCCACTTGACGACTTACTTTCTCTGTTTAATTCAACCTCCTTAGAGATCCTTGATTTCATTGCTCAACTCACAACCAGGAGTCAAAAACATAAAACTAAGCTTTGGTTCAATAATGCCACCAGATGACTCAGACACGTGTGTAGAAAAACTGACCGAACATGGAAAAAGGATACATTTCATGTGTCTTTTGATAACTTTGAATCTTTGTTAAATTATCAGAAGACTGTAAGAGCAGCAAAAAGAAGTGTTTCTCTAAGATCGTGGCTAACAACTGTCACAGACTCGTACTGTACTTACTGTGATTAACTCTGTTCTTAATTCTCCTACTGCTGCTCCTCTTATAGCATTGCAGGCAAGTCTTCAGCAATAGGATCACAGACTTCAGGTCTCATATTGTCCCTCCTGTTCCTGACTCATCTGTTTGAAAAGCCACTTTTATTCTCTGGCATTTAAATCAGAATGAGTTCTGTACTCATTTCATTCTTACTTTCTTAAATTATGACATCTTTTCCTCTGTTGTTATCTCATTTGATTATTTTAGACGTACAGCACTTTGGTGAACAGCCGTTGTTTTAAATGTGCTAAATAAATAAATTTGACTCTGTCCTGTTCGTTTCCTATTATTTATTTATCTGTAAATGACACCAACATCTAACTGTAGTCTGTGTAATTCATCAGCATGTTTTTCCACCGTTCACTTGTGGGTTTACCTCAACCAACTCCAACAGTTTGTCTGTGACAACACAGCAACAAACTCTGCTGACTCTTGTGTTCTTTGTTTATTAAATTCTGGATCCTTTTTATGTTTAAAGCAGCTTTATTGTGTTTTGGTGAGCAAAGCCTGAATCCAACTTACCCAGTTTCCACACTGCACTGCGCTCATATAAACCTTCAGTTCATCCATGATCCGACTAAGAGAAAACCCCTCATTGCTCAGAATTTCAGTTGGTTCCCACTATCATCCCACTATCATATTGCTGCTTTAGTCAGTAATATAAACTTGGAAGCTTAAGGCACAGTCATGTTTCTAACAGCTGAAAAGGTGGCTTCTTGTTAAATTAGCTGAAGCCTTTTACGAGGTGATTAAATTGACTTGTCATCTGATGTCAACTGCTTTTTCTACGTAACATCCATTTGTATGTAACCAAGGCATTTCTGAGAATGTGTACTTTGACTTCAGCACCTCTTTTACATAATCATAAAATATATTATACCATGTAAAAGACAAGCTAACCTACCAGAGCAAGCCTCCAGTCGCTCCAGTCTGCTAATGAGCCAGTCCAGTGAACCAGAGAACTGGGCACAGTTCTTCCTGTTCCCTCTGATGAGTGCAGCTAGAAAGATGAAAATAAGTTGAGAGAAATGACATGATATCAAGAGGTGTAACAACAGTAACATAGAAAACTCTTACTGAGCCCACATGTCACCTGTCTCTGTCCTCTGATCCCTTTCTGAATGAATCTCTGAGCATTTGTCATCTCTTAAAATAACCTGATTGTCTTCAGGTCTAATATGTAGTTTTAGGTGAGTGGAATTACAATTTGAGTTATTGCACCTTTTCTGTGCTTCTGTCTGTGCGCTTGTTTACCCAGTAGCTGGTAGAGGGAGTTGAGAATGGCGCTCCAGGCCTCTCCAGCCTCCTTTCCAACTGCCTCCGCAAAATGAGCTGCACTACTGTAGACATGAAGCCGATCAATGCACTCCAAGACCAGGCTGATCATCCCCTAGAAATATGAAAACTGTTGTTTTTACTTTATTCACCTGAAATGAGCTCTACAAAACAGAGTGTAGTCACAGAAAAGTTAGGAAATAAAAGCAAATTGAATGCCGTTAAATCCATTCTATGGATTTGGATATAGATAATGTGACCAAGCTAATATCTGAGTTGAAAAACACAGACGTGCCAAAAAAACTGCATTTCCTCTAATGGCCACTGGAAGCTCGAAGTGTGTCAATTTCTCTCCAAGTAAACAGGAGCAAAAAGCATGTTTACAAGTTAGTAGAGAAATGGTTTGGGCCACTGTGAATATTTTCAGCCACTATGTACACAATGTGAAAGCAAACATGATATAATTGGCAGTTCTTTGAGCAACAGTTTCACAGACATGGATTGTGTCATTAAAAGAAAACAATTCGTGTATACAGTAAAGTAATTGATTCATCTTTTCTTTTTCTTCTTAAAATAACATTTTAGACATTAAATATTCCAATATGTTCCATCATTAGAAATAAACCACTACAAAATTCACTGGGGGTGGATGTACTGTATGTATGTACTGAGGCAGAATATATAAATATATTAGACTAAATCTTTAAAATTGGAAGCAAAAACTGTTAAAAATGATCTGAAGTTAGTTTGTTGGAAAGCTTTCTTCACCTCCATAAACACACATATGTCCAAGTGCACCCTACCTCTTCCTGAAAGAGGTTCTGACGGTTCTTCAGAGCTCGCAGTCGGTTCTGCTTGTCTTCATGTTCTAGGTGATCTCCAGGCGGTTGGAAATAACCTATTAGATCCTGGAGGCTCAGGCTAACTGAGTCTATTGGCAGATCCAAAGTAAAGCTTCTTCCTTTCTTTCTTAGTATGTCCAGACCCCTGGGAAATACAGAATGGAGGATGTCAGTCATGCTATAAACTAGAGAAGCGGAAAATGTCACCTTGTGTTACGCAAGTTTAGCATGTTCTGCTGCAAGAGTGTGAATGTAGATGCAAATGAGAAAGAAACTAAAATGTGCCGATCCCTCTCCTCAGCCTAATCACTGATTTGATGTTTCTCTTGTGTTGAAGTCATAAACACAGAAAGACAGAAAGATTGTCTGAAGGATTCCTTCATTTTTTGCATCCTTGTCTTCTAGATGACCCCAGAAATTAACCTGCAATTTTAAAGATTATCTCAATTCCCAAAATGAAAAGAGAGGAAGACTTGGAAGAAGAGTCGTTCACAAGGATCCAGAAGTCAGACCTTTATTGATTTGGATGAAAATGGAATGAAGCATGTTAATACACGTGGGTTTTTCTCAGTGTGACAATATGTCTGTGGATTACAGCTGACAAACAATAAAGAAAAAATGTTTAAATATGGTTTTGGCCATCGTGACATCAACTAGTTGGCAAAGTCCCGTTGTGGAGCTTTACACTGAGCATATTCACCGTGTTAGCTTTTTGAAACAGACATCAAAGCATGACCAAGTGACATGTCTGACTGAAACCTCACACACGAGAGACTGAGGGGTTGGAAAAGAAATCTCTCAGCTGCCTAATCAGATTAGTAATCCTATGGGGTTGCAGAGTCTGTGTTAAGGCTGTTTCGGGGTTAGTTGACCGTGACAAGCTTGTCAGTGTGAGCTGATCATTCATTAACACGTCCTTTGTGCTGTGTTTTTCTTTGATGTAGTCCAGCTCAAACTCATTTTCTGGAATTATTGTTTAACCCTCTCAGGCTCAAATTAAACTTTTTGTTGCTAATGCACAACCAAGTCCTGCAGTCGTACTTCTGAGTAAAAAAAGCCCAAAAAAAACAAAAAAAATATGTATGTGGGGTAATCGGGTTGTTAGTTTTTAACTGTTGCAAATCGGCAACGCCTGCCTTGAGAGGGTTAAGATGTAGGACATCAATTGAAATGTCTTATAAGTAGACCTGATATTGTAAAAATACACATTCAGCGTATAATAGCCCCATAAAGTATAAAACAAATTGCATTAAATGACAACACTGTTACAGAGGGGTGGAGAGGGGTTTGGAGACTCTAGAATCCAGCTCGGCTTGTTGTTTTCACGTACAAAAAGAAGAAGAGCAACAGATCGTCCAAGTCTCACAGAAACCTGATCTCAACAACATGACTGACAGTACACTAAATCCACAGGTGAACATTCTCCTCGATAGCTGTGGTCCCAGATGGTATTATAGTAACTGGTGGGTCCATAACAGCCAGGAACAACATTCTACTTAACTGATGTAGGGCTGAACTTCTACTTGTACCAAAATTCTATTCAAATGTCTACTGACTACGTTGAATGAACATGTGACAAAGCATTTGTCTATGTGTCCAATGTGTAGGTTCCTAACATACTTATCATCTTGGCATTTCCCCTCAGCACTTCAGCCTTACTTTCCCAGTCATTTGGTAACTCTTCCCTATCACCCAGAACCTATTTCAACTTCTCCCTGCACTCGTTGCAATATTCTTCCTTCTCCAGCATCCTGTGGCTTTTTCTTCTTGATTTCCAGAGTGGAGTCAAATCCCACAGTCCCTGTAGTCTCCAATCCCTTAACCCACTGAATGCATGCTTCCAGTTTACACTCCGAATTCTGAATCTTATACCATTGTTACAAAGATGATGGTCAGTTGTCTAAAATATACTGGACACTCTCCAAAATAGATGAATCAATATGCCCTCCTATTGCAAAATGGTAGGCAGATTTATCAGTCAGCTTAGACCAAAGTCTCTGGTCTCAGATATGTTTAAAAGATTTTAAATAGATTAGAAATAACATGAAATGACATCCCAATGTCTACAATTAATACAATACAAAATACAACATAGAGTGCTCTATACAGGTTAATGAATCAAGGTTTTTGCCATCTTTTGCTGGTGGCCTCTGCTCTTGAGGAGTCCACTCTGCAGGTGGAGAAGATGTAGCAGAGGTGGAGGATGAACTCAGCCTCAGTGTCTATTGTCCTATGCAGTGTATGACTGAATGTTGGGGTGGGTGTGGTTGGGCCTGGGGCCCCTGCCCTTGGTAGATCCCCCCCCCCCCCCCCATCCCCAGTTGCCTCCCTCCTTCCTTGGATCCTCCATTGAGGCACAGGTGTGTTACTGAGGTGTAGGGGAGACATTCCTCCTCTGTCCCCTCCTGGCCACCTGCGCCTCAGTTTTATTCCACAACTTAGACATTTGTATTACTTACACTCTCATTGCACATTCATATTGGGCCTCAGGGGTTTGGCACACACTGAAGGGCGTCCAGAGGACGGTCTGTTTATTCAGCCTCACCTCTGGTGCTGGTGCCCACGTCTCATTTTTAAATATATGTAGACAATATGTGTTCTAGGGAGGAGCCGTGCTGACACCAAGTGTTGTCTGGCAGAAGGTTTTTGGCACCATGCTACTCGCCTGCTTAAAATGCATTTTAGATCAGCATGCATCAACACCACATATGGGTGGGCGGAGTGAGGCATGGGGTCTTAGTGTACCACGTTCATTTTTGTGTGTCTCCATGTTGGGCGAGTGCGTGAGTCTTTGTATATGTGTGCATGAGGGTGGAAACACATGTTAGTGTCTGTGTCTCATTCTCTTGGAACATATCAAGCCCCCCCAGGTGTGGGCCCATTTCTTTTAATTTTACTTAATTACAAAAGAGTTGTAAAAGAATAATAAAGTACATTTTACATTTACTTAGGCTCTATTTACATTTTATGAAACAGGTAAATGTATTACACCAAAATAAACCAGGGAGGAACAAATAAGTTAATACAACTTTATATTGATTGTTTTGTGTATCTTAAATCAACTTTCAGTGCAGTTGTTCTGTCAGGTATACTAAGACAAGTGAAAATTTGTAAAATAAAATTCTATGCCCAAAAAAGTAAATCACAAATTTCTACTTCTTTGTTAATAAAATGCAATATGAATAATTTCTTCAGTTCTCGCTCTGGATATAATTTTCTTTACACTGGTCCAATATTGCATAGAGAAAATCAACAGTTACATACAAGGTACTGACGAGAGAGGTGGGATTGAAAAGGATTGAAGTGGACCTGGCTTATCTCTCATCTGAGAGAGTGTAAAAAGACTTAACATCTAGACTTTTATCTTAAAAGTGATACAGAGCTGTATTATAAACCGACCTGACTTCAGATATGCGGAAGAAAATGGCTGGATGATATATTATTCTGTTATTTTAGATTTTAACTTTTATCGAAGCGGTCGTCATAAGTTGTCAAACAGCACAATGCACCGCACTTTTCAGTTGCAATTTATTAGGTTTTCAGATGTTAATTCATCATTTTAGTAACACATTAACATGAACGTAGTAACATGTTTTCATATCATATTTAACACCGGTTTATTTTAAAGTGTTTTTTTTCTTCATTGATAATGCACAATGTGACATTAAAGCAGCACAATTTAACATTAAAGAATATGAAGAATATGATAAATGGTTTAAGCTGCCTGTTATTGGTTTTTAACATTTTCCATTAAATGAACATCCTTTTTATTTGATCTTTTTTTCAATCGCTAGAAAAATCAGATGTTTTTTACAATAGCTTCTCTTAAAGTTCTGGTGATCATTTTCAGAGCCGTTCATGGTCAGATACCTCACTATATTAGTAAATTTCTTCATTCATAGGTAACTGCCATGTCTCTGAGATCAGCTGATCACTTGTTGTTGCCTGTTTGTCTAAGTTACAGAGAAGAGGAGACTGTGCTTTTGGAGTTGTAGACACCCAGGACACCAGGTTTCGAAACTTGCTTCCATTGGACTCACGATCTATGGAAAGTGTTGAAAGCTTCTAAAAGAAGCAAGTGGAATTGTGTAGGATTGGCTTTATTTAGTTTTATGAATTTAAACTGTTTTAATTCTTCCATTTTACTTTGTATTGTAAAGCACTTTATGACTTTTGTCCTGTATAAATACAAATGTTGGTTATCAAACATTAGGTCTCTCTCTTCTAAGACCCTGTTAATAAATAACATTGATTTATTCCACCTTACAAAAAGTTTGTTACTGCAGGATGATTTTGTCAGCTTAAGTGAATCAACACCAGGAGGGGGAGTAGCAGCAATCATCAACTCCAGCTTATTAATCAACCACAGAACAACAGAGTTATAATTAGGGATGGGTATTGATAAGATTTTCACGATTCCAATTCCATTTTCGATTCTGTTTAACGATTAGATTCTTTATCGATTCTCTTAGCGATTCTTTTTAAAAAAGGTCGAATAGCTTAGAACTTTGTTTTATATCTTCTCTTTGAACAAGATAGAAATTTAGGAGTAACATTGTCATGGTCCGCGGCCCGGCGTCCGAGGAGCTGATGGGATGCCCACGGGCGTGGCTGTTAACTCCACACCTGCATCCCATCCCAGGCGATCATCAGGTGGACTATTTGATCCAGCCCAGCCTGCTGCTCCACGCCAGTCCGTTAGTCATCTCACAGCGGTAACGTACACCTGCGGGAAAGCGATTGTGAAAACTCTCATTTGTCTGAATGAGCGCTAATTCTGTCCTGTGCACTCAGATAACAGCTCGGCGTGTTTTTTTGAGCCACCTGCCTGTCCACCTGCCCGTCTGGAGTTTGGATCGCCTTCAGTACTCGTCACCTCGACTTTCCTGGAGCTCCCCCGCGGACCCTCACCCCTCCCTCCGGCTCCCACGGCCCCGCTTTCACCGTAAGACTCATACTCTCCCCCACGTATGCTGCTATTTCCCCGCGCCCCAATAATTCTTTTC